GTTCCGTCATCGACATCTGCCAGGAGGTCATCAAGCAGTCCAATGTGCAGATCCTCGTGCCCCCCGCGCGCCCCGACATCATGCTCTTCCGTCCGGGGGCTGCTGACCTCGGCTTCCCTCTTGACATGACCAACGGGGCCGCCTTGGCGCCCAATGGCAACGGCATTGCTGGTATGCCCGAAGACGAGGCCACGCGAGCTGCGCTCTCTGCCGCGCAGTCCTCCCTGCCCGTTCTGCAGGGCGTGGACCGCCTGCCCATGGTGGCAGGACCCCTGTCCCCACCACTGCTGGCCTCGCCCTTCCAGAATGTTGCTGCTAGTGCCCCCACTTTAAGCACCAAGAGGGGCAGGGGCCGTCCCCGTAAAGCCAATCTCTTGGACTCCATGATGTTTGGTACCCCGGGGGGCCTGCGTGAGGCTGGTATCCTGCCTTGCGGCCTCTGCGGGAAAGTATTTACGGATGCTAACCGTCTTCGTCAGCATGAGGCTCAACACGGGGTGACAAGCTTACAGCTGGGCTACATAGACATCCCACCCCCGAGGCTGGGTGAAAACGGTGTCCCTGGTCAGGATGACCCCGATGCACCCCGAAAAAGAAGCAGGACGAGGAAACAGGTGGCCTGTGAGATCTGTGGCAAGATTTTTCGGGACGTGTACCACCTGAATCGGCACAAGCTGTCACACTCCGGCGAGAAGCCGTACTCGTGTCCGGTGTGTGGCTTGCGGTTCAAGCGGAAAGACAGGATGTCCTATCACGTTCGATCTCACGATGGCTCTGTGGGAAAGCCCTACATCTGCCAGAGCTGTGGAAAAGGCTTTTCCAGGTAAGAGAGTACTTATAAGGACCATAGACACAAACGGAGACCTAGGAAGTTGTCTTTCCTGTCCCTTGGGAAACAAGAACAATTTGTACTTAGGACAGTTTGGCTGTTCCATTTTAAAATGTCTCGAGAAATGAGACTTCCATCGTTTCCGCTGGGACGTTATTCTACAGTCTCTTGAAAGGCTTTAAAAGTAATTAAGACGTAGAACTGGGAGTCAGCTGGCTTCTGGGTAACGTTCCCAGCCTTGTCCCAGGCTTGGTGTGTGCGTGTCCTTGGGCAAATCGGTTAGCCTCTCCCTCCGGTGACTCTTCTGTGAAATGGGTATTGAAGTAATTACCTACCTCACACGAGTGTCTCGAGACTACTGATTTGCAGGTAGTTTGAAGGTGCTGTTGAAGTGCAAAATATTAATACATCTCAAGATTATTATTTTTCTCGTATCCATTTTAAATTTTCTTTTTCTTAACTTCCCTTCATTTCTCTTAGTTCGTAATGTTTTTTATCACCCAAATGTGAAGGAAGAGGTGAGATTTCAAAGGCTGCAGCATCAAGTATCTTTTAATACATGATCTTTGTGTCCTTTGGGTTTACATCCTTCTGAAGGGGATCCTGTTTCTGCCCTGCAACATACGTAAGATCTGTGCATTTAATGTTGCTGATTTTTTGTTGTCGCTGTTTGTGGGAGTTAATTTAATAAGTAGTTTGATACACGTAGTCGTGTTAGCGGTATCTTATAGTCTGAGTTAATGAATTTGAAACTTTTTTGGAAGTTTGATGCTCGCTTTGAGACTAGAAGTAGTGGGGGGAGGGGGATGCGTACGCTCTGTGTTACTTCTGTAGCAGCAGTCGCTTTTCTACAGCAGTCGATTTGCGCTAACAGGAGGGAAGGAATCGAGGAATGAAAGCAAATCAAAAGGCTACTAGGGCCAGAATTGTCCCAGCTATATCAACGTAGGAGTTGTGCCCCTGCTAGCTCTTTCTTTGATAGACAGACTTTTTGTTATTGAAACAAATTAAGAAAAGGTAGACTCTTTCTTTTTTTTTTTTTTTTAAATCAGCAGTAATTAGGGGTGCATCTTCCTAAGGACTGCAAATTTAGCGATGGAAAGTCATAAAACGAAGATTTCATCTGTAGCTAGAAGTGGAAGTATTTTTCTTATTATAGTGCTACCTGGGATCATCTGCCCATTTTTATTACTTTTGTTCACACTTAAACATTTCTGCTGTTGCTGTGTGAAAGGTTTTTGTCAACAAGGGAAAGGGAAAGATACATGTTGAGTTCTCATTTTTCCCAGTAAGTTAATGTGAACAGGCAGGAACGCTGTTATAAAGGTAAACAACAAAAATTTCTACGCATCTTTGTAAAACCAAAGTATGAATGAAAAGCAGAGACTTTAAGTTTCAGTATCCAGTTGTAGGAGCAGCCAAAGGAAGGTGGAAGCTGATGTCTAATTTTAGCATCCTTTCCTTCATTCAGTTGCGCAGCAGTGAGGTTGCTAGGCTTGAGGTACCTAGAGGACCCCAACCAGTCTTTCCGGTTGCACCGCTCCAGCCCCCTTGCTGGAGCATCAGGTTTACCAGCCTGACTGCAAAGTTCAGGCTATTTTCTGTCTGCAGTGCGTGAATTCCATCCCGCGCCCTCTCATTGGCGCAGCTGGAAAGTTGGGGGAGGAGAGGGTGGAGAACTTGTTTCCAAGCAGTTTTGGCCTCATACAATGAAAAGCTTTCTTCCCACTAGGAGAAACTCCCACCAGGGAAATCTGCAGCTATTCAGTCCTCTCTTCTTCAAAGTAGGCTTTACTGATTGTGAAGAATGGTCTAACTTTTTTCCAGTAATAATTTGCTCTTCCATTGCACCTTCTAGTTGGGACCTTCAGAGCACTTTATTGGTATTAATGCAGTCTCCCCACCAAGTTGTGAGTTAGGACAGTATTTTTGGATTTTGCTGGTGGAAAATGTGTCACAGCAACAGAGTTTAGAGGCAGTCTTTTTGCACAGAGGTGCTTAAAGTTGGCGCCTTACATCCGTGTTTGGGATATAAACCAAAAGGGTCTGATTTTCACATATTCAGCAACTATAAATCAAAGTGCCCTGATTGTCAAGATCTAAATAGGATTTTGGAAGGGGACATGCAGGCTTGAAAATTGTAGCTTGTATTTCCTGTTTTCTCTGATCTTTCAGTCATAATTTCTTCCTGAGAAAATGCTGCCTTTTAGCAAGTTGGAGAGGGTACTTATCACGGTAGAGTCCCAGTTGTTGGTGATCTGGTTCTTGGAAAGTTAAATATCACTACATCTGTAATAGAGCCACCACTGGGATCTTATCTCTTTTTTCTTTTTTTTTTTCTTTTTTTTTTTTTTTTGTTAAAGTTGTAAGTTTATTTTTGGTATTTGTTTTGAGTGTGCTTATGTGTATTTTCTTTTAAGGCCAGACCACTTGAATGGACACATCAAACAGGTGCATACCTCAGAGAGACCTCACAAGTGTCAGGTAGGAGCTGGAGGGATTTAGACCAATGTATGGGTAATCTTTGGCATTGCATTCATGTGTGCAGACAATTATGAAGTATCAGTAAAAATACCATGTATGTGTGAATTGGGATAAGTGTTTGTCAATAACAGTGCTCAACAGTGGCAGCTGCTCTATATCCCTCCTGTCCCCCAGCCCCTTGTGTCATCGACAGCTTTGGGCCTCCTCCTCCCTCCCCTTCTACCAGATGTTCTTCCCTACTGCTCTGTCCCAGTCCCCCCCTGGATCCTTGATCACCTTGTCCCTGGGCTTAGAGTCGATGTCACAGATGATTCCCTCCGCCCCCCCTCCTTTTTTTTATTGCAGTTGTTGCCAACAGGAGGCTCCAATGCTGACTTCACTTTTTTTTTTTAGAATAATTTCAAATAAAATTGGTAAATTATCATAACTTGCCAAGATACTCTTTTTTTTTTTTTTTTTTTTAACCACATAGCCTTCAGAACATTGCACTGAGCAAAATTGGAAGCTTTTTTTATCCCAGGGAGAATATAAATAACAGCATCACAGTATCTTTTGTAATACAATGTCATAATGTTCTTTATAGTTTTTTACAGTTAATAAATTATTCATTAGGGTTTGAAAGATCAAATCAAGAAAGATATTTTGTAATTCATTTGTAGAGAGATTTAAAAGGTGTTTGGAAGTGTTAATTAAAACCAAAGTTGGGAATCAGCTTCCACTATCACCCACTGCCTTCACATAGTTGTTGGGCAAACTTCTAGAACGTTTGTTGGGCTAACAGTCTCCGTGTTCGATCTCTGAAGAAAGATTTATTTAATTATTTGTTTAAAGAAAGTTGGAGCAAGATAATTTTCATTTTCTTTGAAGACAGTGAAGGTTAGAGGATTTTTTTTTCTTCTAAAATTTTATCCACATTTTCTGCACCTAGTCAGTCCTACATGACTGCTGCCTCCTGATCTGCGCTTTTTTTTTCCCATCTCTTGCCGCACCTCTCCTATGTTTCCTCCAAATTGTGAGAGTTTTGAAACATTTTTCCAACTTTAATAACCCAGTAAACAGTTTTTTCAGACATATAGAGCCATCTAAAGGTTTCTTTTGACCTCCATATGATCTGTGGAAGCCCAGCACCTTTGAAAATGAGTCCATAGAGCTTTCACATTGATTTAACTGCATATCCTATATAAAGCCTTAGATTGATTTAAGCTTCTTAAGATGATTTAGGGGTTATAGATTTCTATACATTGGAAGATTCCACTCATAAAAAGACTTCACAATTTGGGGATAGCAAGGGGTCTGGGTGGGTGAACTGAAGATGACTACAAATTTTTTCCATAAGCATGTATTTGAGTGCAAATAGAAAAATGAATGTTTAGGTCCCAACATAAACAGAAACTCATCAGTCTTTTGCCAGTTGATATCAAGGTTACTGAACGAACACAGTTCACGGATAACGTTGATGGACATGAGTTGTCCTTTGCCAGCTGACGTCTGATAATTGTTTTATAATTTTCTGATTGATTTAAGAATATTAAATATAAACTCTGTAAGTGTGAATCAGGGGATACACTAAGAGCTAGAAAGTAAAGAAATCTGGAAGCTAAGATTGTACAGCCAAGCTCAACTCCGTCTCCTTGCATACATGCATTTTGTGATAGCAGTTTCTAAGAACAGTCTTCCTCATTGTGTGTTGTTTAAAGTGCCATAATACTGTATGCACTGTTCATTTCAGGTAAAAGGTATAGGCTATAGGTTACAAGCATCAGGACAGAGCTGATGTTGTCATTCAGGCTCGGTTTGTTCTTGATTTTTTGACTGCTTAACCTTGCAAAGTTAATTTTTCATGAATCTTAGGGTGTAGAAAATTTGTGAAAGAGCTGTTGTGTGTCTTTGCAAAAAAATACTTCATAATATCCTGTCAGATTTAGAAAGTCTTTTTATATATGCACGGATCTGATATGCATGGTGCAAACCACGGAAGGGATGCTATCACACTGAAAATTTGTTTCAAATCTGAAAGCTGATGTATAAATTGATAAAGTTCTCCTTGTGATTATCTCATAACCAGTAACACTTCTGTTCCATGACGTGTATCTAAAGACAGAATCTGGCCACTAAGAAGGAAAATAGCTTAATATTGCTTGTTGTTTCCCCATTTTCCATTCTCATTTTCCATTGATTTTGTTTGGCAAATTAGCTCCCCATGAGGGTAGCCTGAACAGCATTGAGCATCCTTTTTGAATCTGTTGAGTTCCTGTTGAAAATTCCTGTTATTGTCATGCTTTGTTTATGTTTACTGCAAAAGAGAAGTACTCTGTCAGTAAACAGAAAAGCTTTCCAGAATCCTCTGTCATAATGGCGTTCGTGGAAGTGGTGCTCTGTTACAATTTAGACAAAATCCACTGGCCATTCACCTGAGCCTTCATGTATCTTTGCAAACCAGTGGATGCCTGATGTTTTGTGATGTGGCATCATGGTACATTTGGACTAGCAAAATAAAAGGGTGCAGGTGTCAACCCAACTTCAGAATAAATAAAATGAAACTGTGAGAAGCAGAACGATTGTAAGCTGAACATCACTGCAACAGCTATAGTTTTCAGTGCTCAGCATGTAATCCTGCACTCATCCCCCTAAAATAACAGTTGCGTTTCACAGATCTTTGAAAAACTATCCTAAATTCCAGCGCCTGTAGCACCTGATGCCAGACAAAGACCTGATTCCAGCTTTTTCATTACTGCTAAAATAGAATAGGGAAGGCGTCCACAGAGCCACGGCAGCTGAGAAATCGGATCCAAGAAGTTGCTTTGGTGTCCAGGCAAGACACCAAGTGGCACTCTGGATCTTTTCCATCTTTTCCCCTGGATTGTTGCATTGGTGATTTTTTTTTTTTTTTTTTTTTTAAATCTGACAGTTGAGTTCTGGATGTAGGAGAAGGGGTAAGTCAGTTTTCTGGCCATAATGGGACAGCTCAGTTTGCTGACTCGCCATGGGAGGGGGTGAAGCTGGGTTGTTGGCTTTGAGTGTGAATGGTGTGAAAGTTAGGCTGCAGTTTGGGAGGAAAGGGTGATCTGAAAATCTATGGATGCGAAAGAACAAGGGGAGAAAACAGAAGTTTATTCCTTCTCAGAGACAAGAGACAGGTTGTTCTTCTGGCAATTTAAATTAAAAAGAGGAAAATGCAGGTTAAATCAAAGCACAACTTTTGACAAAGGTCTAGTTATTTAAGTAAACCTAAAATTGGCATCCCAAGTCCAGTGCTTTTCCCATTGATTTCAATGCAGAATGAGTTTCTTCCTGTCCTAATTTCTCTTACTTCCTGCCTATTAGCAGGAAAATGGCAGCCACCATGGAATAAGCTCAGAGACATCCACATCCATAGAAAAGTTGAAACTTCAAGAGGTATTTCTTAAACAATGTTTTTTAAACTTTATATATATATTCCTTTTGATCTATTTATATACCTGTGCAATGTTTGATAGGAAAGCACTGGAGAGTTTTGTTCTATGATTAACAATTAATGATAAATACTTAGCACTCATTTAGCACTTCACATCTTTTGTAAAATAAAACTTTTTTTTTTTCTCTATACCTTTTATAAATATTAACTATTTGAACATTAACTTTGGGGTTTTCTTTAAACCTAGTCCTGTCTCCCATTGTTATGATTCAGCTAAACTGATTCTTGCTTTCTCCACTGGACTTAATTTTTTTTTTTTTTTAAAGCTTCTTCGCAGATATGTTTACTATATAGCTTATCCAAAGGTGAACTTTGCACAACTCAGCAGCAAGAGTGAGAAATCAAACACAGAACTGGTTATATTGCCTTTCCCTAAGCTTTCGGCTTGATAAGTTCAATATGGGACAGATACGGTTTTACTTCTGGCATCCCTGTATTTATGTGGTTTGTCTCTGGTCTGCTTCATCAACTAATGCACTCCCAATGCTTTTGTATGGACGCTTACTGTGGCTCGATATTTTTAGACTTATTAATGATGGATCTCTTGGCTGTCATCTTTGATTGTCTAGTTATATATCTTTAGTTGATATCCAACAGATTGATTAGTATCAGTGCTGGAATCCTGCCTTAAATGAGTGTTTACCTCTGAGATCATTTTAGTAAGTGAAAACTGCACCTGTTTTGCTCAGCGCTGTGTACTGAGATTTCAAATTAAGAGAAATCTTTCGTGTTCAAGAACTTGCCTCTTAATCTTCACTACTTGTAATTTATGAATCTTTGTCTGATGAGCTTAGTTAAACTGTGTGTACCGCAGAAATCCAGATAATTTTACTGTTGTCTTTTTAAGTTTGTTAAGTCCTGATCCTCTGAGGTGCTAAGTCTTGTGCTCACCTCCGCTCTATGGGAGTTTACCGTACTTAAGCATCTCATAGGATCGAACGAGTGTAAAGCCTGTTGAAATTGATAGGTACTTTTCATCTGCCTCCAATGTTTTTTGGATTAAGCTCTTGATTAACTAAATTATATAAAATCATATGGGTTGTCCTCTTCTGTATTATCAATTTCGCTTCTTTGAAGTTCTAATTTTGTAATTTTACTAGAATCCTTGCTTTAACAAGTCTATCTCTGCTGAAACAGTTGTTTAATTACACACTGATACTTGAAAAGACAGAACATATCCAGTTCCCAGGTCACTTAATAATCTCATATTGTCTCTTAAGGGGTTCTGGTTTACACATCTTAAAACTGTGTTATTTTATATAAAGGTGGTATAAACGAAACACTGTACACCCTTGAATGTCACTGTTGCCCACTTGGTCTGGTCATTCTAGTGTATGTTTGCTTTTGTTTTTCCTCTTGCACTTGTGAGCAATGGTTTCAGACTATATCTTTAATAACTTGTACAGTGCATTGCTGGTGGTTTATTTTCCTTCACGTTAGAGATCGAGCAAGCCTGGCAGAACTGGCAGGTTGTTGTCGTAGGCTGTATGCATGCATGCCTGCCAGTTGCTATGATTATAAAAATGGGAGGGAGCCTTCACTCATCATATGGATTCTGTCTGGGAAGTGGGCAAGTAGAATCAATATTATCTTATGCCAAATCAAGCTTGTTTCATGGTAGTAAGTGGAATATGATACCTTGATCAGGGGTAAGTTATAAACAGATGACAGTGTCATGCAGTTATTTTGATACCTGCCCAGTTCTGAGGCTTCGCTTCTACAATTTGCCTGCACTGCTACAATGGATACCAGGATGGCTCTTTTACTGTCCTTCCTCACGTTCTCATCCCAGCCAGTTCTCTGATGCTTTGTTTGTATGTCTTCATACTCCAAAGGGATTCTGTGTACTGAAGTTAGACTGATCAGATCAAAGAGTCAAATGTAGGAGGATGACAGAAAGGACATTTTGAGTCGTCTAAAGTGATTGTAATGGCTCAGTGAAATGGCAAAATTTACTGTAAATGGAATGGTTTGTGCTATTTCTTTTGATAAATATTACTTAAAGTTTTAGTATCTTCATCCTCGGAGAGGAGCTAAGGCTTTACAACTCTTTCTTGATTTAAGCTTTACTGTCTGTAGTATGTTAGAGCTGTTTTCTTGCTTTCTTAATTCTTTTGAGTAGTAACATCACATCTTGTGCAGTATGTTGGTGATCTGAATTTTTTATTTGGGGGAAAATGGCTTGTGCACCATGTCATTTGTGTGTTTGCACAGGATCTAAGGTATTTACTCTAAAGAATACTAAATATATTAGACAATATCAGTGCTTTTAGCAGAGCTGATGAGTCACATGGTTCTCATTATACCTGCAGACTTGTAATGCTTCCTTTGCCACTCGTGACCGACTGCGCTCACACCTAGCATGTCATGAAGACAAAGTTCCATGCCAGGTGTGTGGGAAGTACTTGCGAGCCGCATATATGGCAGATCATTTGAAGAAACATAGTGAAGGACCAAGCAATTTCTGCACTATCTGTAACCGAGGTAATGAAGAAACTATTTTTTTTTATTTCAGTGGGACGGGACAACACTTGAGGGAAGCTGTAAGGCTACGTGACTCTGTCTGCAACAGGAGGAGGTTATACCATATATGTGTACATATTCTTTGTTTTTCTTATTGAATGCTTAACCTTGAAACTGATGGAGCTACAGGTCTGGCCTTTTTACGTGGCTGATAGTTCCTGAAAGAACTCCGTTTAAATCTGAAGCAAATTGTTTCTAGACAGTCTTAAGAATTTTATTTGCAAAATAGCCAGATCCCCATAAAATAACCATGATATTTTCCTTGCCGCTATTCAACATATACCTTTTTTCCTATACCTGGTTAGACTTTAGTCCTTGCGTTCAGTTTGGAAGAATAATCTTTGAAATACACACCAAGTTGAAAATTATACGCTGTACATAAAAAAATCAACATTGTATTATCAGTCTTGTTTAACCTCCTGGTGCAGCAGTAGAGTCAAGCTGCTTCTCCCTCTTAACCCAAGAAATTGCTTTGTATTAACGTACATTTCTAAAACAAATTTTGTAAAGAGCACTAGAAGCATGCTTTACCTTTATTTGTACAAATACAGCTTTTCATAGAATCATAGAATATCTCGAGTTGGAAGGGACCCATAAAGATCATTGAGTCCAACTCGCTGTTCCTCACGGGACTACCTAAAAGTAAACCATATGACTAAGAGCTTTTGAAGCTTTTCCATCTGCTTGTGGTACTCTTCAATTGGAGAGAGTTGTAAATTTAGGCTTTGTGGGATGTAAGGCAAGCTGGGAAAATAATTTTGACTTATTGGTGTCTTGTTTTGGAATGATTAATACACAACTTCAAAATACATTGTTGGCTCCCACAGGCGTACATACCTAGCGAGTGCAGGAAGGGGTTGGTGCTGTGTTTTGGGATCTTGTTTTTTCTGATGAGTCATTTTTTTATGATGCGTGTTCCCTGTTCTAATTTAAGAGAGTTGAAATCTTTTGAGAGAATAAAGCTGTTCTGTATTTAATGTGAGGACTGTACAGGGAGCTGTTGGATGACTAGGAGTTGATGAGTAATGAGAGACATTAAATGGCAAGGGTGGTATTTCCAGTAGTTGAACCGCCTGTTAGGTCCTGCAAGCGATGTTAACAGTTTGAGCGGAAAAGGCATCTGGGTTGAAAATCTTCAGATTCTGAAGCTCCAGGTAGATGGTACGAAGTGAAGCTTGGCCTCCTTTTCAGCTGAAGGCCTATCTTCTGAAAAACCGCTTAAGCTTATCCTGATTGTGTTTGTGGTAACAACATGGAAGACGCTGTCCGAGATCCAGGTGCTATCCTGCTCTCCTTCAGTTGAACCTGGTGCCAAACAGAAACTCATGTGGGTTGGGAGGAATTGTCTTGTTTCCAAGATTTGTAAACTTGAGTTTCAACTTAACTACCACTGGATGTCACTGCAGCTCTTTCGAAGTTCAGCCAGCATGACAAAGACAGATCTGGCATTCAAACAATGAAATGACTAAATGGTTTATTCACATTTTACAGGTTTAAATGCACAGTGGAAATTTAAATACAATATACACTTCTCTGTAGAAGGATAGGGACCCTGTTGTACAGCAAACTTGCAGCAACTACTTTCTTCTTACAGTTTGTGTATTTCCGATGTGTTGCCAGAATTTAGTCTGCTGTGAATTTCAGTTTACATCAGCACTTAGAAAATGTAATTAATCTGGTGAATTATTGTTAAATGTCTACCCACTGTTAAAATTCATAGGAAAGGGAAGTTACGGACTGGATTTGTCAAACAACTGTGTTACGAACTCGTTGTTATACGCGGTGAATTTTGATTATAGATTTATGATCCATGGCAGCAGAATTTTTAATCCAAAGTGTTCTAGAATCAAATTATAAGGTTCGTTGTTTTAAATAGATACCTTTTAAATTGTAGAGCCTGGCAAGATGAAGTATAGTGGAAAATTTCTGGATTAGAAACATCTATTCCATAGGCGTTGGTGCAGTCAGAAGCCGCGCGCCATCCCTTTCACTGCGATCGTGCCGTGGCTATGCTGCTTGTGCAGTGGGATTTTGTTTTATTCTTCCCTCAGCTAGCGTGCTGGTGTATTTTTGAATTGGAACTTGGCTAGTGCTGGATATAGTAATTGTCAAACAAGAATGCTTAAGCTGCTTGTAGAGAGAATGTTGGATGTTGGCCCACCAAAAAAAAAAGTGTATGAAAAGGTGACTCTTACACAGCTGAACGTATCCTAGTGTTAAAAACAGAGCTTAGAATCCCTCGATTTATCCCATCAGACTGAGGGCTTTTCTGTGGAACTAAGTGTCTCACGTTCTTTGAAAGGTTTAACGGACTTAGGAGATGGGGAACTCAGTACCTGACTGAAAGCAGTAGCCACTGGTTTGCCATGTCACGTGTGTACCCATTTGCTGATTTTATTTGTTTGTTTATTTTACAAAATGGCAGTATAATGTCCTAAAATTGTCATCTGTGGTTTGATGTTTTTTCCAGGTTATTTTCTTATTTAGGGTCTTTATGCTTAGAATAATTATGGAAGCAATTAAATCTTGTTAAATCAGGGAAGCTATGCAATGGGGTTTTGTCTGGGATTTTCTGTTTGTTTGTTTGTTTTTTAAGAATTAATCTAAAATGTGCTCATGAAAACGAATCCTCACTTTTTAAGAAAAATTCTTTTTAATCAGTTTAAATAAAAAAAGACCTGCTCCTGCTTTGTTGTTACAAAATCTTTTATTACCATCCTTAGGAACTTTATTTGCTTACATGGGCTTTTTCAAAGAACTTCAGAGATTAATGACTTTGGCAAGTCTAGAACTGGTACTTCGTAATATCACGTGCAACTCAAGATTCACTTTCTGTTTCAGACACATACGCGTTGTTTATTTCACAGAAACCAGACTAGTTAGGAGAAGGGGAAATATGCCAATCACAAGTTAGATGGATTTTTTTTTTGTTTTTTTTAACAGTAAGATGAATTCTTGTATGTTTTATGGTGGATGCAGAGTTGATTAAAGCAAGACACGTTCTCTGGATGTTGCAGCTAAATCCAAATTAGAATTTTTGAAAAAGGAGCATCCCGCAATTATTTCTATAGTCTGTCTCCTTATAGATGTTATCGAAGAGATCAAGGGATAGATCCCATTTATATAAAGCAGATCATTTCCTCTTTATGCATGTTTTTAATGTTGGTTCCTCTGGTACAAAGAAATAATCTGCTCTGCAAAGCTGAGAGATGTGTATGGGTAAAGCAATAAATACATTCCTTCTTTGAGAAATACTGCCGCTTTATCCTCTGCATTCGCCTGACTTTGTTTTTAAAGAGATTTTTAAAAGTAAAGGATTATTGTCTATGAATCCCCCATCTTCCTAGGACAGGCATTCATAGTTAAGGTCTGGTGGGGAAAAAAAAAAAAGGCCAGTGCTAAGTGCTTCAGAAAAAAATTAGGATAAAATAAAAAAACCCCACCACAACTCACTGCAAACAGTTTCCTGTGAAGCAGTTGGCATTCTTACGGCTTTGATGGAAGTTGATGACTCACATGTTCATCTGCCAAGTGCATAAAGGGGAACTAACACACTTTGCAGGCAGTTTTCATTATATAAACCAATGTACCCTACAAATAGAATTGCAGAGTTCAGAAAAAATATTGTATAGCAGAGATTACAACTCCAGATTTTCCCGTGTCAGTTGTAGTATAGAAAAACGCTGAATACCTGTATGTAGTCCTTCTTTAGTGGTTGGCAGTGAGATTTTAATGCACTGCTAAAGAGGCTCCCCTCAGCATGCGTGTGGTTACTAGACACATGTATGAAATAAGGGAAGTACCTTGTAGTTGGAAGCATCGCTGTTATGTCTGTACATTATGTCCTTTTCTCTACCAGTCAAACACTGATTCTTTCCATATCTACAGTGACTTTTTGGTATTTGGAAAAATATGTTCTCTTGTGGCCCAGTGAGAGATTCAGTATAGCATTTTGTGTCCGAGGGTAGGTCTTGCACTCTTTCGGAGGATAATATCCTTACACTAATTCCCTGGATGATTTGGCCTAGGTGATTCTGCTCCATTGTATTTTGAGAGTCGTACGTTCTTGGTTTCTTCAGTTGTGATGTGTCTACTTTTCTGCACTTCTATCAGCAACTCAGGGGTCTACAGTAACTATCTCTTGTTCATTCTCAGCAGCCCCCGCTTTTTCCCCTTCGGCAGGTTGCTGTGGAGTTCTGTCTTGCTCTGCAGGTCCTGTATATATAATTCTTAATAACCCCTGAATACTCTTTGATCCTGGCTTCGAAGAAAAGTCTGGGTAGAGCGATATTCTCTTGGGTAGGCACAGGGAATTCTGGTGTGAAGCCACATTGATTATTAAATTCAGCACCTGAAACTAATAGCTGCTGTCAGAAAATCCACCCCAGAGAGGTGTGGCAGTATTGGGTTTACATCCTTCCTAATATTGTATATCATCAAATGTAAATGCAGTTATATGACTATAAAAATGGCTTTAGAGCAGTATATACATATTTAAAGTGAAGCATTGGTGTGAAAGTTCTCTTGCAAGGGCTTGTGTGGTAAATGCTGTATCAGTTTAAAAAAATCTAGGTCTTGGGTTTTCTCTATCCAGAAAGGGAACCTGGAACTCTGTGTCTGTGATGGTGCAACTTGTGTTCTGTTCTCAGCTGTTAAAGGAAAATGTTTCTAACATGAAAGTGCCATAATATTCTGTTCAAAATTTAGTAGAAAATCAAGATGGTTGTTGACAGGCTTACCTGTGTAGGAAGTCTTTAAAATTCTGTCCTCCTTGGGCCTTGTACATGGTCCAAATATACTAGTACTAATTGCAAATCTTATTGGAATCTGAATTTAAAAACATTCCAAAATATATGTGAGAGAGTTTATTGCATTAAAGGAAAAGGCCATGTTTGTGAGACTTCAAAAACAATTCAAAAAAGCACATGCACAAATGTAAAAAACTGTTTTGTTCGGAAATCAGTTGTTTGAAATATATGTTTTTAATTTCAGTGGTTTGGGCTTACAGATCAGAGCTAATAGAAATATTGAAGTTTCATTTTAATTTTTTTTGTTAACTGCAGACAAAATGTGAGTTTTAGTATATTTTTTAAAACTCAGGATGAGCTGAACGGAGGAAATATTTTTCAAAAATTACTATGGACCAAAATTGTATACCTTAAAAACTCAGTAGTTTTATCTTTCTGCCTTCTAGGAGTCACTATAACTGCCAGAAACCTAAGGGGAAAGCACACTAAACACCAAAGAGGAGTGTTACTGAATGGCATTCCTTCAAATCTTAACAGCATAAAATAAACTAATTTGAACTACCTTCCTAAGTATTACCAGATGATGAAGGCATTTTTAATTAAAATAAATAAAAGAGCACAAAAATGGTGAAGAGGCATGGGTGCCTTTTTGTATCATGTCTCTTCTGCCGTTTTTTCCAGAAAGTTTCATGTCATCTGCTAGGTTTGCTTACGTAGGATTTGTTTCTCAAGGAGGCTGTTCTTTCATCATGACTTCCAAAAAGCAAATGAAGTCTAATGAAAGGTATGCGTTGCATTCCTTGCCTGATTATGCCTAGGAATCCTACTTGAGCACGTTGTAGGTAACCAGAAGTCAAGCTAGTGTAATGGCGACTTTGTAATAGGGAGTAGGAGCAAGAGAAAGAGTCAAAGAACAGGGAAGGCAGATGTGTGTCTTTGCTGGTGGCAGGATCTCATCTCCTTTTATCTTGTTTAGGTTTCTCCTCTGCCTCCTACTTAAAGGTCCATGTTAAAACCCACCACGGTGTTCCCCTTCCCCAGGTCTCCAGGCACCAGGAGTCCATCCCGAATGGGGGAGCAGCGTTCCACTGCGTCAGGACCTATGGCATCAAAGGCAAGAGACTCGCTGCTCTGCACCTTGCTGCTCTGTGCAGAACTTTGTGTTGTGGGATGTTGGGCTGGGCGTGAGAAAGGGGAGGGAGGAAGGACAGGGAAAATACTGGAAAGAAGCTTAGGGAGTTGCAGAGACATTACATAGCATCACCTAGTATGTAATACCTGTCCTTGGATAGCAGATTTAGCAAGTCTGGGGGAAGGAGATGGACCCGTAAGGGTACGTGACTTTTTGGCAGCTTCTTTGATTTTAAGGATTGAAAGAGCCAGGTAGTTCATCTTGAGCATCTTCCTAGGAGCAGTCAGTATTTGAATTTTGCCTGAGGGGTGCAGATCCGTGACGGTTCCATAGTCCCACTATACTTGGTTTGACTGACGTGAGAGTCATGTTTCTGATTTCTGGTGAACGAAGGGGGAGATGCAGAATGCAGTTCATAAAGGTTCTTGAGCAGTGAAAGCAATATTCCTCCTCAGGTTGATGAGGAGGCATGCAACTATCTGTAGTTAAACTTACACTCTTTAATGCTGTTGTTGGGGAGGAGAGGTAGAGGGTGGTAATAGTACTGTTACTTTTTTTCATTTTTTAACCTGCATTTAACTTCCTGGGGAAAAAAAAAAAGAAAAAAGGTATTATTGTAAGAATAGCTAAAGAGTGTTTAACTTCTGAATATGTAAAGCTGTGTGTTAACCTATGTAGAATAGCTTGTTTTTTGCTTCTTGGTTTGAACTGTCAGTATTCCTGGTGAAGCCGAAACATCAGAAAATCCTCCAAAACCATGGTTGTCCCAAAAAGTTACGTTTTTTCTTGCCCAGGAGGGCACAGCAGGCTGGGTTAAACAAAGTCGGTGCCAGCAGAAAGCTACAGTTGTGTAATTTTTTTCTGTTGAAGTTCTGATAAAGTTACTACAGAAGCCCTTTGGTTCTGGGTGGTGTGCTCACTTAACAAGAGATTTACTCCAGCTCAGTGGTGTATTGATTTCATGCATATCCTCTTTGGTTTGTAATGCCGAGTCCAGAGCAAATCTGTCTTTTGGGTTGTGCCAAGTGGTTCTTTGGTCTTTTAGAGTTAATAGTAGATACAGCTTATTTGTATTCAGAGACTTGTTTAGGGAGTACGTCTGGGTTTCCCACGCTCATTCATATGCGCTGAGCAAAAAGTGTGGACAAACTTCCTTGGCATACTGCCAGAGGAGAATGGGAACACTCCAAACATATCAATGGCTTTGCCAGGATATGTATCCAAATGACTTAAAATAGTGTCCCTAACCTCTCTCCTGTTTCACACTACAGTATTTAAAGATGGAACAATTTTAGATTATGAAGTTCGCTTCTAACAGCATTGCAGTTAACTTGTGAAAAAGAGTTCCTCAAGACTAAACGGAATTGCGCTTCTTAAATTGCAGTAGCTCACTGCTGTTTCGCTGAGTATTTCCAGGTTTCTTCACATCTTGCTGCAGCCTGTTATACTTTACTAGGTTTCTAGGCTCTCCCCCAAAGCATCAACAATATTTCAGAAGTGTGGGAGTGACTTGTACAGTTAAAAACTCGTCATTAGGTCCATCCTTTTGTAGTGCCTGAGGTATAAACGTCGTGAGGCATCTTTGGGATTCAAAAAGTATTACATAAACCAGAGAGCCATTATGGATGCATTCAGTATTATGACAGATCCATAATAAAAACCTGGACGTTGCTCTGAGAGCAGCCCGGTGGCTTGCAAAGAGGAACCTCTGGTCAAGGGCTTTAGAATATGAGGGATTGCGATGTTAAGTGTGTATCATTCTGTCATGACAGGCATTAATGAAATCAGATGGTGACCAGTATCATCTGTTTGGATGCATGTTAAATAATTTTTTGGGAGATAAGATTCTGAAAACTTCTCTCTTTTCTTTTTCCCGTAGAAGGCCAGAAATGTTCACATTCGGACCCGATTGAGAGTTCTGATTCATACGGAGACCTCTCTGACACCAGTGACCTCAAGACTCCTGAGAAACAGAGCACCAATGGGTCCTTCTCGTGTGACATGGCAGTCAGCAAAAACAAAATGGAGACAGAAGGAGAGAAGAAGTACCCTTGCCCTGAATGTGGCAGCTTTTTCAGATCAAAGTCTTATCTGAACAAACACATACAGAAGGTTCACGTCAGGGCCCTTGGTGGCCCATTGGGGGACCTCGGTCCTGCTCTGGGATCCCCCTTTTCACCCCAACAGAACATGTCTCTCCTGGAGTCATTTGGGTTTCAGATCGTCCAGTCAGCATTTGCATCGTCCCTAGTGGATCCAGAGGTCGACCAGCAACCAATGGGGCCAGAGGGGAAATGAGAGCAGTTTGATCTTGACAAAGCAAAGCAGCAGTCTGGCTATAATGATAAGATGCTGTGAATGAAAGAGGAAATAATGAAATTTGGTTCTATAGCTGAGAATTTTTTATTCATTTTAGCTTCCCTCTTTGTCTCATGCCCTACCCCACCCTTAAACCTTCACTGAGGAGAGGGAGAAAATGCTTCTTAGCTGATACATTACAGAAGATGGTGACCTTGAATAGGAGACATGACCTAAAACACCAAATGGAGCTTTAGAGGCTGCTGCTGGTGTTTCGTCATGATCTTCTAGAATAAACAAAAGTTGCCAGCACTGATCTGAGAATTAGACAGTCCTAGTGACCGAGGCACCTGGGGAGCTACAGCTACAGGGAGCTATGCTTTTGTTCTCTCTCTATTCCCCACCTTCCCTAACCTACCCCAGAAAAACAGTAAGTTTTAAAAACAGACCCATTATCGACCCATTATTGAATATAACATTAAGTAAAATGCCCCGTGGTACCTAGCAGGTTACAATGCAGTTGTCCTTTTAAAAACAGAAGAATTTAAAGAAGGTGAGAGAATTTGAACCCCTTCTGCCATTTGTGAGGCTGTGAGTGCTGCAGCAGGACTGAACTGCTGAGAAAAATCACCATTCAGAACAGGTTGTTTTTGTTACTTTTAACCATTAAACTTGCTGTCAGGTTTTTAATTCTCTATTATTATTATTTTAGGACCTGTTGTAGTGAATTGCTACTGAAAAGCCAGTCTAAGGCGATACGCAGAGCACTCTTAAAGCAGCAGTCACATTAGGGTTAGTATTAATTTTTTTTTTTAGATGTACCATAATTAATAACTTGGCTAGTTAATTGTTTTAAGTCTATGAAAGAAATAGTTTTATGGGGAAAAAAAAAAAAAAAAAAAAGGAAGGAAAAATACCATTGCAGTCTGGTTGACTGGTGCTCATTTTTCATGTGGGGACCTAGGGTATAAACACGATCAGCTATCGGGTTAACACTATGTACCACTGACTTGTTTAGTGTGAATAAACCCAGGGGTTCACAGAGTGATTTTGGTTTAATTGGATTGGACTCTATTAAAGAAGTTAGTATGTTACTTTGCATCCCCTTGTTTTGTCTGGTTTTTGACCAATACAGCCACCTGTCCAAAAGGTGTGCAAATGAGAACCAGTAAATAAGACACGAGTCCCTCTCTACACTGTACTGTATTCTCAGTGACCTGGGCTTTTTGGCTACAGTCGTGCTCTCCTGATCTGCCTCTAGTCAGGTTTGCAAAAGCCAGTCCTACTCCTTTCTTTTCCAAAGAAGAAGGTTTCTGCTAGAAGAGATGGGAATTGCAAACAGCGTGTCTCCGAAAAAGGATTACAAAATGCAAAGAAGCTGGGCTCTAGGCTGTTGGAGGTTCCATTTAATCTGAAAATACCACTTGTGCAGAAATAATGTCCTTTCTTGGCCCTCCCTCTCCTCCCATGTAACTTGTCAAGGTCTTTATGTACCAAATCCAGGTATAAATGTTGTTTAATTAACACAGGGTTAGGAGTTAGGAATACTCTGAGTTATAATTATGGTTCTGCTGTTGATGCTTAGGGTCACATAGGACAGCTCACTGAATTTATTCCTTAATTTCCCATCTGTGAAAAGTTTTCTCACAATTGTGAGGGTTAATGAGCAAAGGTTTAAGCAGTGATTTGGTAAACTAAGTTGCTGTGTGTACTGAATGTTTCTGGAAAGGCCACTCTGAAGAGCCCAAGTCCCACACGAAACTTGCCTTCTATGAAACAATAACTGTCTCCATCGTTAATACAGTGCTGGAGCAGGATAGACCACCTCAGACCAGGACCGACGTCCTCTGCAGGAGATGCGTCTGTATTAAATGCGACCATAGCCACAAACTGCTCTTGTGCCACGACTTGCGTTACCCAGGTGCTCCTAATCCAATCCCTGCAGCTAACGCGTAACTGAAATAAGACACGTTCCTGTTTTGTTTTTATGTTAGAAGTATAGAGCCTTTTGTAAGTGTATGGAATTTTGGAATGACGTTCTAAATTCTACAGACTTAGAAGCCCCAGCTTCTTTCTTGTAAGAAGCTACTTTTTTGTACTTGCTCTCGAGTATTATAAACCAAGGATGAATAATCAATGGCTTTCTCTTTATAGCACCAGCACTTTCTAAATTGAGAGCATGTTGAAGTGGACTTGATGTTTGCTATTAATCTGTGTTGGGAGACTGAAGGACATGTTCTCCATTCATCTTCCCCCAGAATCCCTGGAATAGGTATGAGTCTTATTTAAAAGGGAAAAAAAAAAAAACAAACCACCTTCAAACTAGAGCTTCACGGAATTGCTATTGCTGTACTGGTAAGCTTAGTTGACAAGTCAAAACAGGACGTTTGGGAAACATAACAAAACATTTTAAAATACCGTACAAATCTAGACCGTGACGAGACAACCTTGTGAACTGCCAAGCAAGTCAAGATAGAGCAGGCTTTCCAGTCAGCATAACAATTCATTGGGATTAGCAAATGCAACTGCAGTCACTCTGATTTGCTAATAGCTCGTATTTAAGCCATCAGGAAAATTTCTGTTGAATTGAGGCTGTACTCTGAAAGATGTAAGAAGTTTGTGTCCCCGATGCTCCTATATGCACTCAAAGAGGGTGTGCTGGTCATAAAATTCAGCTCCAAAAGCCAAGTCCAGAATGTAGGATATTTTCACCCTACATTTAGCTCCACTGACTTTAGTGTTACTAGTGGGTTGAATTTTGGCCATGTGTATCAGAATTTAATTTTGAACACTACAGAATTTGACCTGATGAAACAAATGAAAAGCCTTGAACTAAAAAGGAAGCCTTCTAAAACACTAACTGTGCATTTTGCTTGTCAAAGAAAATGCTTACTAAGTTGTCATGAATACACTGAATGAAAGCGACTTACTTCTCAGTCTAGTGGGCAGGGAAACAATTAGGCAGGAAGTGGGCAATCCTGAAATGACAGTTCTAGATCATCCTCATGTAAATGGGCGAGATTGGCACCAACACCAGAGACTGGTGCAGCCTAGCGCCAGCAGTAGGTTGGGCAGATCTTTCGCAGTGGTGTGTTTTCAGTGCTTTTTGCTTCTTTGCGGGCATATTCAGTTCTGGATAGTAATTTAATCGACATGCAGATTCTTTATATTCTGTACTTTGGGAAATGTCTGCTTCTCATAGGACAGAAGACAGAGGTAAACAGAAAACTCAGCCTCATAAGTTCAGAGGTCAAAGGGAAATACTTAGCATGCCCTGAGCTGCAAGCTCACTTAACTTGTTTCTGTTGCATTTTTAATTGGCATATCAGCGTATAGATGCCAGTTCTCATTTTGGGCCAGCCCTCCTTCCCTTGTCATCTTTGGTGGGACTGCAATCCAGTGTTTGAGTCAGTGCGCTTCTCTGCCGAGAAGTGAACTTCAGTTCATACAAATTTTGATAATCAGAGTTGTAGTATTTCTTTGTATTATAGGGAGTCCTTAAACCCCTCAACTGAGGCTCAGACCCTTCATCATTAGGTATGATGAAAACATCTTCAACCATTTATAATCTAAACATTAAAGATAGACAAGAAAGGAGTAGATGCTTATAGGTGAATGAGTGAAATAAAGATGAAGGACTAAAAACTGCTTGCATGCATGCTTAAGTGTTGTGTTGAATGTAGGGGCACAGACTTATCATCAGGCTTCTTTTGTTGCCTGAAGTAATTTATCTTTATGTACTGTTAATCCGCAACAAATGCAAGGTAAAGCGATGTGATGTGAATTTATTCCATACTGAGTTAAATTAAGTGACGTTACCTTGCATTTGTCATGTGCTAGATGTGTGCAAACAGACTTACTGGTGTGGCTCACCTGATGCATGGCAACGTGGTGTGTGTGAGCTCTCGATCTTAAGTGATTTGCCCATGGTGACGTGGGAAATTGATAGCAGAACCAGAAATTGAACACAGATTTTCCTTCTCTCAATCCAGTGCCTTAACTATAGTAGGGCAAAGTATTATATGTTGGGGGGGATGATTGTTTTGTTTGTTTTTTAAAGCCTAGAACTATAAGATGGTGTGGAGTTGGTCTTCCTACCAATCTTTTGAATAATTGCAAATGCCCAGTCACAATTTTAGACCTGTTTGAGTGCCAGTGACTTAGGGAATATTTGTTATTTCCCACGTATTCCCTGAAATTATTGTTCCTCCCTCAACTGCTGTCAGCAGTAAGGAATGACTTGAATAGAAGAGCTGTGTAACTGAATGTCTAACTCAACTAATTGAATTGATAGTATGAAAGCTAACCTAGATTTTGTAGGCTCTGTTGTAACTTTAGTGTCTTGTTTTTTCCCTAAATCTTTGTTCCTAGAAATCAATATCTGAACTTATGTCTTGAGTCTGGAGTGGGGTACCACTTTCAGCTTTAATTTTTTTTAAGGTGCTTGCTTGAGGAAGTAGATGCCAAAGTAAACTTCAGAGGAACTCCAGACTTCAGTGTTGGAAGAATGAACGGAGGGCAAGAGCTCTCTTTGGGTTTCATGAGAGATAAATGGACAAAGTAGAAAACAGCTACCAAAATTTTAAGTAATGAAACAGCAAAGGCTTTTCTTTATCACCCACAAAAAAAAAATCAGATCTTTTCAATTGTTCCATGTGGCAGAAACTCTGAGAGCAAGTGCCAAACAAAACCATGGAATGTGTTGGCTTTTTCAGCATTATGAATATACCTTTTGAATACCATTATGAATATTTTAATGTAAATTAAGCCAGCTTTGTACCGTTCACCTTTTGCCTGGGCACAGTACCTGAGTTTTAACTGAATAGAACATAAGCTCACAGTCAATCTCTGAGCTTATGCTCTCAGTTCCACCCCGAGAGACAAAACGAATGAGCAAAGAGGGGAAAAAAACCCAATAGGAAAACTTAAAAGGAAAAACAGATTCTGGAAGATTCCCATGTCTCCTGAGAGAGTCCCGTTTTTTATCCTGAACATCCTTTTCAAAAGAAGATCCTTCAGCTGTTGTGACTGAGCCTTTGGGAACAGATCTGGCTTCCAGCCCGATCTGCTGCTCCGCGTCCCTGTAGGAAGGCTGTGTGTTCTGGAGCCCCGAGCCTGGGACCCGGAGGGAGGCCGTGCTCCTGGGCTGCAGCCCGACGCCACGTTTGCTGTTGCAGTCAGCAGCAGCAGCTTTGGCGCAAGGTCTTCCCGCCTGCTCCCCCGACACCTTCGCCCTCCGCACGTTCCTCTGCCAGTGTGGTACCTACTCAGATGGGTACAGCTCTGCAAATAACTCTGTTAGCTATAAAACAAACTATTTGGCTAAAAAGAAAAAAAAAAAAAACAAAACACCACCTTAAAAATAGTTATGTGACGTAACTGCAGAGTGGTGCAGAACAGGAGCAGGAAGCCTGGCTGTGAGGGGTTGTGGTGATGGCTGGAGTGGTTAAAGCATGTTAGTGAAAACCCACAGTTGTTTGCTCTGTGGTAGCGAATAATGACTGGCTGTTGGTAAGGAATTAACACCCTGTGTCACCTCTAGCCTCTTCCTGTGTTTGGTTCCCATCTATAAAATGAGATGATAACCCTTGGGTAAGAATGTTTCAAGATGTGATTGATGTGCCAAATCGTGCTGCACAATTGTGCTGCTGAACTCTGCTACAAACGTTGGGC